TCCAAGTCAGAGAAAACTTTTCAATGACATGACGGTAATCATTGAGTAGGAGGTCTAATACTTTCTGATTCGTGTAGCTGCGATCGATGAAAGTGGGCGGAATCTTCAAGATACGCCGGAGGCCTTTCATCTGAAATGCATCAAGTTTGCTCAGATCAGATTTTGTAAGTTGTATGCATTCTAGGCAATACAAGACCTTGCTCTTAAGAATTGAGTCGAATACCTTAAGCTTCCATTTTACGCTGTTTTGAGCTTTGTTCCAAAATAGCTTAAGCTTATTGCACGTGACGGTAGCATCTGCTATACGGTTAGAAATCTCTCTGTGACTATTCACCGTGTCTGTCAGTAAGGACCCTAAATATTTAGCCTCCTGCTTGCGTGGAACCAGTGTCCCATCCATATATTTAACGCTGGATTGTCCTTGGTTCAAAGTCAGGTTGATGCATTTGTCGTAGTTTAACTTCATGTCGTAGTATTTAGATTCAGACTGAATAGCATGCAGGAGCTTGTTTATTGTCTGCGTGTGGGTGCCAAAAACAAGTGTGTCGTCTGCATATAAGACTTCAGCGAATTCAATTCCTGGTATTGGTTCTTTTTGCTTCGGAGTGTTTAGCTTGGTTCGGATGTCTGTGAACATAGCAGACATTAGTAGTGTAAAAAGAAACGGAGACAGGGGGCAGCCTTGTCGGATCCCAGAATCTTGCGATTTGCATTCCGAGCTTCGATTGTTCATTGCTATTCTGAACTGTGGATCTTTATACATATTTGCCATCAATTGAAACATATTTGGGGGGGGACTTTTAGCCTTCGAAGAACTTGTAAGAGCTTTATCTGGTTGACTTTGTCGAAAGCTTTTCCCAATCCAGGAGAATAAGTGACAAGTTTGAATGCTGTCTTTCGGCCAGGTCTAATAATCTTCTTGCGATAAAGATAGCTTGTGTTGTTGATTTTTTAGGACGAAAACCATACTGTGTTTTGAATCCATGAGTCATATGCATGTATGAGACGAGCTCTGATCATGCTTGCTAGTAATTTGTAAAACACTTGTAGAACTTGTAGAAGGGCAATTGGTCTGTAATTCTGCATTTGGGTGGCGTCCCCTTTCTTATACATAGCGACCAAGTTAGCTTTTTGAAAAGTCTCCGGGTAATGCTGTTCTTGAATTATGTCGTTGTATAATGAGAGTAGAGAGCTTCGGTTAGGGACCGAAAGCCATTTTGCAAGTTCTGCTCGACATCCATCCGGTCCTGGAGTTTTGTTGTTCTTTTGCGCGTCGAATACGTTATCGAGCTCAGTTATAGAGAAGAGGTTATCATTCATAGCGCTTGTTCCTTCAATAAGAGGGGAAGCTTCTTTAGCCGGAGTTCGTTTTCCAGCGGTTTGGCCCACTGTACTTCGGCGAAAAACTCCGCTGCAGTAGAAGGAAAATCTTTTTTTTTGATGACTTCTCCGCGTTTGTTTTTGAACTTATATCGCTTGGGTTGAAAAGTTTGTCTTGCTTTCTTTAGACGATCCCATTTGTAACCATCTTGCGATATTTCCTCAAGTTCTCGTAGAAGCGCCCGTTCTTAATCTTTCCTGGCTTTCAAACGGATTTCTCTGGTTAAAGCTCGGGCTTTGATGAAATCTTCTTCTTGAATCGCGTTCTGTTCGTCCTCAATAAGATTCCAAGTGTCTTCAGAAAGGTAAGGTTTCTTGTGTTCAAATGGGATAGGCGTAAAGTATTTATCAGCTGCTTCGCCAATTATTTCAGCAAGGGTTTCAAATGCAGTTGTGCATTTCCATTTGCCAAGCTGTTGTTGTTCCTCGATTTTCTGTTTAATGAAGAGGTTGTAATCGTGCTTTTGCATTTTTGTCGGAGTTCTAATTTTTTGCGGGCAAGCGTTCGTTTTCTTCCGTTTTTTCTGCGATAGTTTCACGTGTACATCGGCAATTAGAAGCGCGTGATCTGAATCCAAAATAGTTTCATGAACAGGTGTTGTATTGTGGACCGAGTTTTTCCATCTGTCGTTAATGAGGATGAAACCCATTTGAGCATGAGTGTTGATGTTGATTTCCGCTCGATTAAAGCCTTGCTCGACACTCAAACGGTTCAGTTGTCGGCGCTGGGCAAATAGCTGCCAAGTGTGTTTTCTACGCGACGCAGGAAGACTCGAGTACTTTCCACAACGACCATCCTTCTGAAAAGGCATGTGCGGTTCACCTTCGGTCCACCTTCCCGCGCTTACTTCCCCAACAGCGGTCTCTCTCACTCAGTTCACTCTACCTTGCGTGCGACTCTCGCTTGCAAGACTTTCAGATCTCTGTGTGGGGCAACTTCCAACCGCCTAGATTAACTAACACGTACAAGTATTGCTGCCCATCTCTATCCTCGCGCCTAGCAGACTGGGCTTTCTGGCTGGCCCGCTGCCTCACGGGAGCTTGAACTTGCTACTCCGAGCGAGCTAAGATCCGCCATATGCCCCGAAACATCACCCCTTTCATCCCTTGCGCTACCTCGAATAGCCTGGACATGAAACGGCATCCAAGAATGTGCTAGGAACTACGCCTGTGATGCCTGCCAGCGCTTTTTAGATTTAGGCTGAGTTTTTGGGTTTCACGGAGAGGCCTAGGGTTTGCTCGCAGTTCCAGATGGTTTCAGGTCCGGGGCTAAGTGGGTTTAGAGCCTCGAGTATTTTTAGGGCTTAGCTGGAACTGTCGGTATGCCAGGCACGCGGCTCCCGGCGCTGTCGCTTCTCGTCACGGGCTTCGCGCCGAACCTCTTGCTGAGCCTGTTGCAGCAGCTGCCTCGGATCTTTGTTTGTGCCCGACTTGATTGCCTTGGCCTGGCACATCCTGGCACTGAGCCGCAAGCTCTGCACTCAGCTTGGGCTCTAGGACAGCTTGCCTCGTTGAGTGGCAACTACTGTGGCTGTGGACGGTTTGTTGGGAGGCGATCTTGTCATTCTTGAACCCTGCCTGGAAGGCAGTGGCTGTGCACGCGGAGCTGTGTGTCGAACAGGCACGGAGGAGACCTGGTGTGGGATCTGAAATGGTCTGTGTGATCTTAGTAGGATCTCAGATATCACCCTTGACACGCCTTCCTCCGCTCTCTTGGCAGCGGCGCCGCTCGCTTCTGGCGGCTGAGAGCCTGGCGCCTTGGGTTTTGAACGATCCAAAGAGCTGCCGTAGCTACTGGTGGCGGCGATACAGGAAGGGTACGAAATGGTACCATTACGAATTGAAACCATGAAGGCGAAGTCTCTGCCTGTGATTGCTATGGACCTGGAACGCCAGGAAACCCTGCTTCCGCTGACATTGGGCCGGGCACTCGTACTCCTCAAAGTTAAGAGTCCGGACCTTGCACTCGGATGCAGAACGAGCGGTGTTTACACGCACTGCACTCACCAAGATTTCCTGAGCAAGTTCCCCACCAATCCTACAAAACGCACAACTTACAGTTGAAATACTGAACCTTGCCAAAGAAAAAGTGTTGACATTTCTCTCGGGTCCACGCACTCGGTTTCGTGTCCACCCAGCGCTTATGCAAAAACCTGAGCTGGGCAGACTTCGGTCATGGGACCCAAAATGGACAGCTGTGGAGCCAGCCAACGTCCTGACTTTGTCTACACACATAACAAATTCGACTGCTCGAGCCCTCGCAGTTGTGGTGAAAAGTTGCGCATACGTGCCGATGCACGTGCACCGTTCTTGTGATCTTCCTTTTAGTGCTGCCTGGGTTGTCTGGAGGATTTAGAAAAAACTTATCTTGCAAAGGTCTCCAGACGTGCTATATCCTGCACCCAGTGCTTTTAGGCTGCCCACTTTCCTTATCCTTCCAGAATCTAGGAATTTGGAGGCGGTGCAGGATGAACCTTTTCTACCACTATCCACGCCTTTTTTGACTTCATCACCTTCGAGCACAGGAAATCTTGCATTTGGATCATTCATCTCTGCTATATCTTCATGTGTCTTACACCTCTCATGTCTTGCACCTCCTAGCTTTTGGCCAACTACCCTACATCTCAGATCATACTATCGGGCGTTAAGGACTACCACATCAATTCCTTAGTTTTTCCGAAGCCATACCGTGAATCGACTGTACGTCAACTTCAAGACACGGCGTTGGTGCAGCAAAAAGGAGGCTTAAGCTCGACTCTGCAGACGCTTTAGAACTGTCTTTGCAAACCTGCATTATAGATGAGATTATCTTAGTTACAGCTTTCATTCTTTTTTAACTTTTACTCACATCTTCAGTCTAATACCCTTTTTTCCCCTCCTATATTTGGAGGAGATCCTCTATTCCATCAACACATATTAATGTTTTGGACATCCAGAATTTTACATCTTAGTAGTTTCTGCATTTGGGACCATTGCCATAACAAACTTGGGGGCCTTGCCCAACCAACAATTAATCAATGATCTTTGCCATGTCCTCGAACTTCAAGCGTGCAGTGCTCGTGGCGAGAACTGAACCAGCACAGCTTCCAACACCTGACGATTGCATGAAGTTCACGCCCATGCGCCCTCTCCATGCAAACAAGTGGCTCCATCCAGATGCATTCCATTCCCTTGTCAGCGGCCTGGACAACTCACTTCACTGCATCTTCAAGAATCATCAAACCATACCCGACCCCCGCCCGGGCTTGCCATCAGGCCATGCGTCCATGCTACCAGTGCATCCACGGGCGCGAGGGAGTGACAACTTGCCATAGCATGCCAGCTGCTCATTTCTGTACATGCTTTTCAAATTACTGTAGCATTATTGATTATAGAGTAATGAAAGCACGCGAAAACACTCAAGGGACACAGAGTTGCCTAGCAGTGCAGCTGTGTGTCTGTGTGTGTGTGTGTGGGCGTGGACGTGGGCGTGGGCGTGGGCGTGGGCGTGCGCGTGCGCGTGCGCGTGCGCGTGGGCGTGGGCGTGGGCGTGTGCGTGCGCGTGCGCGTGCGCGTGCGCGTGTGCGTGGGCGTGTGCGTGTGCGTGAGAGTGAGTGAGTGAGTGAGTGAGTGAGTGAGTG